CCCATGTTCGCCACCACTAGTTTTTGCATTTGGCTCGTTCTTGCAATCTTTCTCATCGCAACAATGGGTCTGTTGCGGGATCTGGATACTTAAGAGAAGTCGCCTCTCGTGCTCTTCATGAGCTTCCGTCGAGTAGCCACCTTCCCGCGTTGTTTCGACTGTGAGCTCCTGTCGAGTTGCCGCCTCCCCGCGTTGCTTCGACCGTCGCCACCAGCTAGCACGCGCGACAAGCTTCCCTGGCGAGCTACACGTTGTTACAACGCATGCAAGCCAGCGGCGCTCCTCCCGAGCTCCTGTCGAGTCACCGTCTCCCTGCGCTGCTCCGACTGCCCCGAGCTCCTGTCGAGTCACCGCCTTCCCGCGCTGCTCCGACTGCCCCGAGCTTCCATCGAGTCACCGCCTCTCTGCGCTGCTTGCCACCACTAGCTCTCGCCGCTGACTAGCACGCCGATGAGCTTCTCTAGCGAGAGCGCTCTGTTGCAAGGTGTGCAAGCCACTGGCACTTTGGCGTCGGCAAGCACGTCGACAAGCTTCTCTGGAGAACTTCTCCAGCGAGCTTCTCCGATGAGCTGCACACAACTACCATTAGAATGCTCTCCGCAACATGTCCGGTGCTGCAAAAGGTTTTCTATAACATGAGCTATGTTGCAAAAATTACTGTAGTAAATGATCAACAAAATTAAATGCTTTAAGGTGATTGCAACAACGATCCTGTTGCAGAGGGCCTTCTGCAACATCACTTTTGTTGCAAAAGAGTGGCTTTTTTTTTTTTGAGGATTGCAAAAGAGTGGCTGCTTACGTGGGTAGATCCAACGTCCATTAGCAGGCAGCGGATCTTTTCTCATTATCCGCCCGTCGCCCGATAAATAAAAGGAAAGAAAGAATTAAACAAGAAAAAAAACTGCCCTACTTGTGCCGGCCCATGAGTGCGCGCGTTAGCAGCCCGAGTGTACCGCTCGCAGCGGGCGCCACATAGCAGCTCCCCCTCTACGCCCCCCTAAAGGAGGCCTCTAGAAACCAATCCGTCTCCCCCAAATTCTCCATTCGAAAAAGCCAACGCCGTTATCGTCCTTCCTCCGCAATCCGCCGCAGAGAACATCGGAACCCTCAGGAAGCTTCTAGAAGCCGCCCGCGCGGAGCCCCCATGGAGAAGGAGAAGCAGAAGCAGGGGGCCGACGGCGCCCTCCTCCTCGCGCTGCGCTGCTCCAGGGCGTCTCTCGTCCTCTCCTCCCTCCGCCAGCCATCCCCCTCGACGGCGACGACCCGCCGGACCTCATCCTCCGTGGTAACCCGGAACGCCGCGCCTCCTCCGCTTCCCCGTGGCATGCGCGACGCTTAGCTCCGACGCGTCTGTCTTACCGTCGCGCTTTCTCTCGTCGCAGGAGTTCGACCTCCGGAACGCGCGCCTCCTCGACGCCGAGCTCGCGGCGGCGCGGCGCGCGGCTGCCAGAAGCGCGCGGACATCCGCCGCTGAGATTCTCTTCGTCGTTGCTCTGGCCCCCCTCCTCATCCTCTTCGTCGCGCTTCTAGCGGCGGCGCTGGCGGAGGCTGCCGCGGAAGGGGTGGCTTGACCCGCTTGCCGACGACGTCATGAGATGATGCGGCGACTGAACCCAAACCCTCCGTGTTAATTCCCCCCTTCCGGGCTCCGTAAGTTGACTCTGTTTCTCTTCAGCTGAGAAAGGAAGCTGGTATCTCGATTGTGGTACGGGCCTGTTTGGTGTTTTCGGTCTGTACGGTAGGTGTTCGACCAAATGCATGTTCCTTCGTAGTTGTGTGCACAGAGTAAGGCTAAGGTTGTAGTGATAATTAAGAGATCAGACGAAATCATAGGGTGATGAATGGTGCCTGTCTCATTGAGTTGCATTGTTCTACTGTTTTCTGATCGAATTATGCTGATGGAATGGTAGATGCAGGGATATGCCTTGCAGTGTTGCTGCTTGTGTGCCATGATCCATAGATTGTGAAAAGGGCACTGGCGATGAAATTTCACGATGGGTGTTATGTTGCTAGTCTATGATTATTCTTTCAAGTGAAAAGTAAATGTGTTTGAGCTTAGTCAATTGTTCATTGCATTTAGGCAGCATCCTCATCAGGATCATGCATTGCTTTATTTCTCCTTTGTATGAGTAAGGGTGGCCCATGCATTTGCGCTGCTAGACTTTTCACGTGTTTTACTTTGAGAAGCTGATAGAAAGGTAGACATGTAAAATTATAGATAAACTTGTGGTCGAAATGTATGAAACTCATTTGGCATTGTTTTTTAATGAACTGCTTGCCCCCTGCAAGTTGCTTATGTATTTAACTGTGAAAACTCTCTAGTCAAGTGTTTATATAGTTTAGCCATGTACGCTAATGTATTATCCGTGTATGTTGGCTTAGAATTGCTAAAGCCTTTCTCACTAAGGCTGAATTTGATACTGGTGTAAATTATCATAATCTGGTGTTTTCAACAAGCATTTGTCTACTTACCGTATGAATAAGCCACTGTCCTGCTTTCGAGGCTATTTATTTAGTTATAATATACAAGGTCAACACAATGTAATGTAGCAACACTAAACCGAGCCTAAGGTGATGGATGAATGTTTTCAGAAGTAGGGTTTTTGTTGTCGATTGTGTAATGCCTTCAATGTACTAGTTTGTTTATTTATTATGTTATGCAACATTGGATGATGTTTAAAATGTAATATCATGAATTTCTTACTGTTGATGCTTTGCATCAACCAACCAACCTTGCTTCTTATTACCGTACGCATATACATGTTGATTAATAATTCAGGGTTTTAGACACTTGTGCCACTGCGTGTGCTAGCATCACTTACTGAAGGTCAGAAAATTTTGTTGTTGCCACTCTAGCTCTTGTCCGTTTTCCCTATACCACTCTTAAATTTGACATTCCACCGTTGCCACTCTAGCTTTTAACAATGCTTCACAATCTGCCACTCTGTATAGTCAATGCTCCGTTTTGACCAAACGGAGTAGGGAAAAGACCATCTTGCACTCAGTTTTTTGTTTTTCTTTTGCCACCAGTTTTCGCCAATTTTGATCTTGCCATTGGAGCAACTTCTGAATGATTTTATTAGTGCTAATTCAGTCTCGGATTTTGGCATGGCCTATTCAAAAATCTGACATCACACATAATTATACTATTTTTCCTTTTGTATGGTTGCAACTTAACTTGATGCTGTTTTTTTTTTAATATGCAGTATGCAATATGCATAGCCTGGTGAAAGAAATACCCTTATGAAACCGTGATACTCGAAACTGGGCGAAGGCCGATCAATTTTTTCCATCATGAGGAACATTTGCGTCATCTTATTGAATTCTTCTGTGCTCCTAAATTTCTGTCAGGACAAAAAGGATAGCACAAATTAACCGGGTGTTTTAGAAAAACCATTGTCTTGGTTTCACGGCGCACATCCAGTTGCTGCAACCTGAGCCAACTATACGTTTCCCAGCTATCCAAGACAGCATTGTGGTATCCGCTCAAGCACACTATCAAAGATCCAAAACTGCTCTCTAATGGCCACGGAACACAGCAGCACATATTAATTGCACGTACTAAAGGCTCTGCTTCCGATTACTTGTGGTAGCACCTGGATATGTCATACAGTATATCCTAAGATCGGCTAAAGTAACAAGAAAATTTTCTAGAGTGATGATATACATAATACCACAAGTTTTTTTTCACCAATAGCAACGGTCAGGTTTCATCGGATAGGACGATGGTGCCCCTCTTCAAACACTAAGAATACCCGAGGTCCGGTTCCGCGGATCTCTCTTTCTCCCACTATCGCATTCCTAATTGGGATTGGCATCTTTTTTTTTCTCCCTGA